CTAGTAGGCTGAAAATCTTCAGCGCTCGATCGAAGTTAATGAGCAGAACTCTGAAATTGTGGTGTCTGGGTACACCAGGGAGTCGCACCAGGTTAGTTCCGGAATGATGTGTAACTAGTTTGTATCAGTGTATGCAGATGTATCCTTGAGGGGTTTTCCCTGTCCCGGTTCACCACAGGCTGAGCTGGTCCATTGGCAGGGGGCACTGACGTATTAGCAGAACTGAAGGCATCTGATCAAAAGAGCTGGAGATGGCGCTTTGCTTGGCAGTCAACCTGGCCTGCTGCCTTCACACTTCACCTGATTTTGTGGTCCTTGGGGGCTCTCTCAGAGTGCCATTTATGTGCACCAAAGAGAGATGGTGAATAGAGGGAGCACAAGCATGTAGCTGAATAGTGCAATATTTGACAGCAAGACGCCTGTCAAGATCCCACATGGGTGTCTTCTGAGCATCACTGGTGCCTCATTGTTCTTCCTGTCTGCACTTGCAATGAGTTGAGGAGGATGGCAGCAGGACCTGGCCAGAACCCTCAAACCAGTCCAAGCCTCAACCCTCTCCCTGTTTCCTAACCACACCGACTTTCCCCTTTCACATCTCGGGAGCCACTTCCCAGGGTAGCAGAGGTTACATATAGTTCTGATGGCTTTGAGATTTGCTCCCTGGAGTCTCCTTGCTCCAACGAGAATGGCCGTGCAGAGCTGGAGATGCCGATCATGGCCTCTGTGCAAGCACATCGGCTCTGACGGTGCAGGGCACGGTTGCCCTCACCTTGCAGGGGGGGCTGGGCATCATCCACTGTGTCCCCAGGGAGAACTGACCACTTCTTTCTCTACAGCTGCACCAGCTGCTCATGCAGGGCGCACCGCACCGTCTGGGACACGCTCCCGCACCCACAGCCTCAGCAGGACCACCACCACGTGACAGGGGTACCGAGAGCAACACCTGCAGGCCCTGCAAGTCCAGACCCGGATCATGGAGCAGCAGGTGCAGGAAGAACAGGAGTTCCAAAGGAGCTGCTTGCCCAGGGTCATGCCATCTGTCACCATCTGCAGCCCCTATTGCAGAATGTGCATCTGTGGCCACAAGGGAAAAGTCGAGCGACACTTTAGAGACTCACACAAATACACAGTTACCCGACCTTACGTGAGCAAAACCCACTTCATCACATGATGGATATGTCTAGACGACAGGCTTTTGTCAAAAGAGGCTCTGTCGACAAAGAGCATCTAGACTACACCCAGTTCTGTTGACAAAGCAAGCCACTTAGTCCACACGACAGTGTAGACATAAAGGACGCTGTAGATGCAATAACGACTTCCGTCGACAGAACTCTTTCAACAAAAGGCATTATTCCTCGTAGAATGAGGTTTACCGCCATCTACAAAACTGCCGAGTTCTGTCGATATTATGCCGACAGAACTTGGAGGTAGTATAGACACAGGTATAGTTCTTTCAACAAAAGGCCACTTTAGTCGAAAACCCTGTAGTCTAGACACACTTTAGTCGACAAAACCATGTCGTCTAGACACAGCCCCAAAGTGTGTTACTCACACAGGATCTTTTTCAGGGGAGAAGGCAATATGCTGCATTTATTGAGAATACAGTAGAGAAGCAGTTAGCATATGCTGTAAAAACAAACCCACATACACACATGCACCCTACTGCTGGTGCATAGTTTCTATTCCATGGTGGCTATGTCAGTCTTATTGGACAGGCCAGGCTGACTGAAGGAGGAGTCAGGGTGGCTCTGAGAATCCTTGGAGACTTGGCTTGCAGGACTGAACCCAGATTGCCATGGCAAGAACACCAACTCAGTGGGTTTTACAGTGTCATGCTGCTGTCATCCATCCTGAGGAGGTATTAATCTGTGTTCCTTTGATGGTGATTGTCAGGGTTCCCATCTTCGTTTCTCATACATGGTGAGGTCTCTGTTTTTCTCCAGGGTTCATCAATGCTGTCAATTCAATTCAGCCTCCAGACACAATGTCTCAAAGTTTCCACTTCTTCTTACTCAGCTGTGCGTTTGGGGAATTAAGCTAGGGAACCAAAGGAACAAAAAGCCCCATGTCCCTTCATGATCAACCTGACTTCCATCCTGTCAGGGGCAAGGACTGGGGGAAGGAAAGACAGAAGGAAGATAAAACTCTGAGAAAGGCGTATTCCTGAATAGCTGTAATCAGCAGAACGATTGCCCAGAGAGCTCAGGGTTCCCAGTTTCCCCATTTTGATCGTAGGAGAGACCTGCTCTATTGAGCTGAGCAGGACCCAAACACAGGGAAGAGCTGCTATCAGCTCCTGGTGCCTCAGGAGGCCAAAGGAGAAGTTCTACATTTGGCACATTCAACACCAATTGGCTGGACATCTTGGGCAGGAGAAAACATTCGCCCATTTATTGCCTTGATTCTTCTGGCCAGGGATCCATAAGGAGGCTGCTAACTTTTGTGCATCCTTCCTGGCTGGCCAGCAAGTGGCAACAATACGTTCAGGAAGGGCTCTCCTGATATCCTTGGGAGTTCACCTTTGAAAGAACAGGGGGTTGATATTGGGGGCCCCTTGGGTAAAAGTGTCCATGGCCACCAGGACATATCGGTCATTGTGGACTGTGCCATGTGTTATCCAGAAGCAGTTCCTTTGTTCTCAGTAACTTGTAGACACCAAACTGGTACAGCTTGGCGGTTTTGAAACTGGCAGCTTTGGTGTTGCCGCACCAGTGAGAAACCTGCTGGAGCCCCAGAAACAAATTCCTCCCTTTGTCACTGCAGTAGAAAAATGATCCCAGGTATTACTCAGTGCTACAGGGCAGACTGGTTCCCCCCTTCTTTTAAGTGGTGTCCACTGAGGAGGTATTGGAGGATTGATGGCATTAGGAGGAAACGTGATACTACAAGTCAGTTATATTCTTTGGCAAGGAATGTAGACAAAACCATGTCCCCTAAGCATCAGGAGAAACTACGAGCAATAGACTCAGAAATCCCCATGCCTGTCACTGCAAATATGCCCCCAGGAAGCACTGTGCCCTGGATTCCTTTCGGAAGTTCCTAACTCCTCCTCCTGGTCCCTTTGTTTCCTGTGGGCTGTAGGCTCCTGGGGCAGCCTCCATGGGCTAAGCCACGCTCAGGGCAGGCTGCAAAATGGAGAGCAGATTCGCCCCAAACTGCACATTAATACTGACGTGAAAATCACCCACAAGTCACAAATTGTGCTCCTGCGACTGCCATCCATTCCACTGCCTTCTTTTGTGCATTGCATTTTTCTGGCTCCCAATCCACACGCAGCAAGAAGAAACTGAAAACTCTGCTCCCTGCACACAATTGTGTCCTGGCTACAAGGGCCCACCACATCCCCATGGCAGTATGTGGCTCTAACCCGAGAGACCAAACTGCCAGGTGATGAGAACATCTTCAGAAGGAGTCAGTGTTGTTTTCCTGCCGACACCGGTGTTCACTCATCAGAAGGTTTCACCCTTTGCTCCCTATAGGGGGGATCTCTTTTCTATGTCTTTTTCAAGCGGCCTTGTTCCGCAAGCTGTTGATCGAGGGGTACATCACTGGGAGTCACCATTGTACAGATCAGAGACCTGATCCCATGTGTGTTTAGAGTTCGGCTGTCCAAGATACACAGATCACGGCTCTAGTATGTGGTGTTCACCGGCAAGTGGGAAGTGAAGGAGTGGAAAATTCTGTGCTTCCCATCTGTGGAGTGTTCTGAGTGTTCTGAGCACCAGACCCTTGTACATAAGATTTGGATTCTGCCCCCAACACTACTCTTCCCAAACTGGGTAATTTGTGGAAAATCCCTTAACACGTGTGCAAATAATTCCCACCTAAGTCTCTGGGCTCTATCTCTTGCAGCTTCATGAAGAACAAATTCACATGCTGCTTTTCAACACCAGCACCAACTGGTAGATCACAGGGCGTAGTGCTGAATGAAATGTGTGTCCTTTATCATCCAGCACCTTCCTGAACAGCCTCCTCCAAGTTTTCCCCTCCCCTCTCCCACCCTTTCACTGCCCTTTCACCTCCCCTCTTCCACCCAGCGGGAGCTGCTTGCCCAGGGTCGTGCCGTCTGTCACCATCTGCAGACCCTGGTGCAGAATATGCTGCCCGGTGCCAGTCCTGTGCCTGCTGCCCCCCCAGCTACTGTTCCTCCTCCCATTCCTGCCCCTCCTCACCTCTTCCTCCTCAATCTCCACATCCTCCACCTCAACCTCCGCACCCTCATCCCCATCCCTCTGGGGGCACCGAGGCCCCCTCCCCTGCAGTGCTGGAAGCCAGTTGGCAGGGTGAGACCGCCACCTCTGAGAACCGAGATTCCCCTCCCCCTTCTTCCCCTTGCTTCCCCCTTCCAGCTCCCTCCTCCAAGTTTTCCCCTCCCCTCTCTCATCGCCCTTCCCAATCTCTCCAGTTTGATCCCCCACCCAGTTTTGTTAAATATACAGAGTTTATATTTTTGAGACAAAAGTGCATTTTATTTGACATCAGGAAGTGGAGGCTAGGGAAGGGTAAATGAAAGGATGAGAGGGAGGAATGGGCCAGAAGCCCCCAGTGGGGCAGACCGGGGAGACTGTTAGTGCTGTAGTGTAGACATACCCTTAGCTAGTCTAGCCCTGTGTGATTTGGGGCTTAGTTCCTAGCTCAACTGCAGATCTTTTCTACAGCCTTGAAGCAAGACATTTCCTTTCTCTGTGCCCCAGCTCTGGTTCTGTGAAACGGAGGTCACATGGTACTAGCTTATGTGGAAGATGTGGCCATGAATACAATGAAATTTGTGAGGCACTCAGCACTGTTATGTCGATGAGAGCCACAGAAAGAAGTTCAAACACCCCGTAATAAGGCAGGCATGTCTGGTTACTCCCACCCAGAGAATGGCAAAGGGACGCAGAAAGAATTTAAGATCCACATTTTCATACCTGTCCATAGGCACCCTGAATTTGTGAATACTTTTGAACTTGCTCCCTCTGAACAGTGTGACTGAGAAGATGCAACTACGTCTTGTTCAGACTGACAGATTTTCTTCTTTCCAACAATTCCTGAATTTTTCAAGGACCATGCACATTGAACAAGGGAAGTTAAAATAAAGTTGCAAACACAAATGGTCATTTAAAAAACAATTTGTGCTGATGGTACAGAAAATGACAGGGGAGCCCAGGAGTGCAGAATCTATTTCCCTTTCCCATGGGCATCAGCAAACACTGGAGCATCTTATCAGTTCTATAATGTTACCAACAGATGCTAAGATACCCAGGTCTGGGTAACAAGCTATAGAAAGGACTTTGAAATTCAAAGGTGCTACACATCAGTGACATAACTCTCCCATTGCCCTAATAATAGAAATCATCTTTCTCTGCCTTGTGCGTGGACACGAAGCAGGTGACACAAACCCCACAGAGCACAGAAAGGGCTGCAGAGTAGAAGGATGGTGTGTAACTCCCTTTGGTTCACCCACAGAAATGACAAATATCATCCTGCGATCTACCCAATGAAAATGAACACCAACAGAAAGAAGAGGGAGTGAGATTTGATGTGTCCCTTCTTTTCCCAATACAATAGACTCCCAGCTTTTAAAGAATATCACATATAGTTTTATGTGCACACAGAGGAAGTAGATGAATGTAGCCCTGATCTCAGTGGAGAACGGCACCCCTTGTTGGAATACAGACACATGCTTAACAAGATAATAATGAAACATACAACCCTTGACTGTGAATGACATCACTATGGGCTGGGAACTCAATTCATCTGTTTCCATGCCCCATCATTCAACCAGAAGTGAGATGAACAGATTCAAGAATTGGTTAAGAATTTATTCATGGCTTTCCTCAGGACGTCCTTCACCTCCCTGTTCCTCAGGCTGTAGATGAGGGGGTTCAACATGGGGATCACCAGAGTGTAAAACACTGAGGTTATTTTGTCTGTGTCCATGGAATAGCTGGAGGTGGGTCGGAAATACATAAAAAGGAGAGTGCCATAAAATATGACCACTGCACACAAGTGGGAAGCGCAGGTGGAGAAGGCTTTGCACTGGCCCTCAACAGAGTGGATCTGCAGGATGGTGGAGATGATACAGACATAGGAGAGGAGGATGGTCACAACACTGATCACTACAGTGTAGCACATAGAAACAAATAACACAATCTCATTGGTGCGGGTGTCAGAGCAAGAAAGTGCCATCAGAGCAGAGATATCACAGTAGAAATGCCTGATGAGATTGGAGCGGCAGAATGACAGTCGAAAAGTAAAACATATAAGTATCAATGCATCCACCAACCCCACAGCACACACCCCAGAAACCATCTGGTTACACCGCTGCCTGGACATGGTGACCGTATAGAGCAGCGGGTTACAGATGGCCACATAACGGTCATACGCCATCACAGCCAGCAAGAGACACTCAACATCTGCAAGAAAGATGGTTAAAAACATTTGCACAGCGCAAGCAGTATAAGAAATGCTGTTCCTCTCAGGTAAGAAATTCTGCAGCATTGTAGGGGAAATTACTGAGGAATAGCAGAGATCACAGAAAGACAAGTTACTGAGGAAAAAGTACATGGGGGTGTGGAGTCGGGCATCAGTCGTGATTAACAAGACCATCCCTCCATTCCACACCACAGTGATAACATAAATCAGAAGGAACAACACAAACAGAGGGGCCTGCAACTCCGGATGATCTGTCAGTCCTGAGAGAATGAACTCAGTCGCCTCTGAGTGATTTCCCTCTTCCATCTCCTCTGAGATGAGATCCAGCAGCTACAGGGATGTGGGCAGGTGGATGGCTCAGGGAACCTATCCCTTGTCTGTAATGATGTAAGTGAAGAAAAATGGAGTTCAGTTTCTTAATAAGTACCCGTACCAGCTCAGGGAAGGGCTTAATTCAAAATATCCAGATGTTCACAGCTGATTATTCCACTTCTTTTTTCAATTTCATACACAGCACACATAGAAGAACTCATTTGCTTATCATCCCACACACAGACGGTCCTGTTAACGGCTGCGAGCAGCAAACAGGGACCTGTGACTGCTGTGAGAACCAGGGAGAAACCATCTCAGTGTGATGGAATCCATCCTTAGTTCAAGAAGGGGTGAGAGTAAACGAATGTCAATCTCTGTACTCGCTTTGGGCAAGGGGAGCTCTGTGGTTCTGCATGTGCGTTTGAGGAAAACCTTGTGTGCTGGTCTAATTAAGCTTTCTGGTATCTGATAATGGCATTTTCATTACGCTCTGTGATAACCCTGAGACATAAAAGAAAGTGCCGGCTTCTGTGAGTACCTTATAGTCAATTTTTTCCAACCAAATTCCTCATTCCTTTAGCTCAATCAGAGAAACTGGGCCTGAGGTTTTTAGTGGGGAAGGACTTCAGTTCAGTACCTGCCTATCACCATGCTGTCTCTGTGGGTGTCTGACTGATGCAGGACAAGAGCACGTACCTGCTGACAGCAGAGAGAGACGTGGCGGCGTTTCTCCATCGATAGAACCTCACACTTTGGTGCAATTGGGATGTTTTATTCTGAGATCTGTGATCTATGGGACAAGATCCTTGGAACCACTGGGAATACCTCAGCTCAGAGAAGCACAACAACAGATTAACGAGCTCAGGGAATGTCCGCCATACAGCCGATACCCTGGGAATTAATTTGGCACTTTCTTTCCTCCTGTGTTAGTTAGTGATGCAATTTCTATCAAAGTTACAGAGTCCAAGCCTGAGGGATATTTCATTCTGCTCTTGTCACTGCAAGCTGGGTCCTGTGTAGAGCGACCCAGAAAGGGTGTGTTTGTGGAGGCCCACATCTTTCAGCTGAAAACTTAACATTTCAGCTCAGAAACAAAACACACAGGGATGCCCCAGGGACCACATCCCACCCTTCTCTGCCATGGTCTGGGCTCCCAGGCTGGTCTTCATCCTCTCTGGTGCATGATGGTCTGTCCTGGTGCAGAACTGCCCTGAGACTTCCCTAGAGTCTCCCTGTGGTGAGAATGGGATGTGCTTTTTTGATGAAAGACATGCCATGGAAAACCAGTTGAAATGAAAATCCAATTTCCCACCAAAAACCAGTTTAAAAAAATGTCCAGGCAGCCTTAGCCCCTGGTTTGGAATCAAAGGAAGAAAAATGCCAATTTCCAGACATGGTCGGCCTGACACACCGATACAGGGGCACACACTGGTGTAGGAGCTGCACACAATAGTGGAGATTTGTGGGAGTGTGTGCCCTGACTTGGCCCCTGTGGTAAGGGGACTAGGCCTTATGGCCCCTGTTGGAGACTTGTGGAACTGCCACACTGCCCCTGGAGCAAAGAGCAGAGGAGAGGTCCTCCAGGTACACTAGAGTGGCTGCTTCTGCTGCAGCCAATCAGGGACCAGTATAAAGAAGCTGCGGGATCAGGGCCTGGCAGTTCCTATGTGGAGCTCAAGCCAGGCAGCCCCAGAGATGGACTGGGAAGGCAGCGGTACCTCGGACAGCTCCCAGTGGGGGCTGGTTTGCAAACTCAGCTGAAGCCCAGGGGTACATCTAGACTACAGGCGTTTGTCAACAGAGGCTTCGTCGACAGATACTGTAGACAAATCTTCTGTCGACAAAGAGCATCTAGACTACATCCAGTTCTGTCGACAAATCAAGCTTTTTGTCGACATGAGAGTGTAGTAGCAAAGGACAGTGTAGATGCAAGAACGCCTTCTGTCGACAGAACTCTGTCAACAAAAGGCGTTATTCCTCATAGAATGAGGTTTACCGCTTTCGACAAAACTGCCGAGTTCTGTCAATGTTATGTCGACAGAACTTGGCAGTACTGTAGTCACAGGTACAGTTTTGTTGACAAAAATCCACTTTTGTCAGCAAAACCCTGTAGTCTAGATACACCCTTACTGTAGTGAGTGTAGAAGGTCGGGCAGGCGTTGCTTCATGTGTGAAGTAGGTTGGAGTGGCAGCCCACTGACCCTGAGGTGAAGTCCCCCCTCCCAAAGTCTTGGTGGGCAGCACCTGGTCGTAACGACCCACCTAGCCAGAAACCATGAAGTGAGGCCAGAGAAATTTTCTCCTTTTCAACAATTCCTCCATTTTTCAAGGACTGTCCTCAATCAGCATGGAACATAAAAATAATGTTGTAAACACAAATGGTCATTTCTAAAAAATTTTTTATTGATGGTGCAGAAAAGGACAGGGGAGCCTAAGAATGAAGAATCAGTTTCTCTTTCCTGTGATCATCAGCAAACCTGCAGAGCATCTAATCTGTTCTGTAGTGTTACCTATAGATGCTAAGACCCTCCCCCCATTTCTTGAGTGGGGAGCCATGCTACAGAAACGGCTTTGATATTCAAAGGCTTCACAGATTAGTGATGTAACTCTTCCCCTTGCCCTAGAAGAGCGTGCATGCCTCCATATGATGTAAGTGTCATTGACTTGAAGCAGTGTGGGATTAACGTAGACCAGCCCTGAGAGAGATCCAGGATTGAACAGAGCCAGGTCACCAGGGCGCTGTCTGGCAACATGGAAGACCCACTATCCAATTGCTTCTCCCCATCTGAAGGAGGAAGGACTGACCCGTGTCTCCCACAGCCCACAGAAATATTGACTGAAACTCTAGAAGGGAAGAATACTGTCACCTCTTCTCCAACCTGAACCACTTTGCTTAAAGTTTTCTAGGGATCCAATTGGCCAAACATTTAGGGTAAGTCTAAACTACCCTACATTTAAATAATCACTGCTTCATTTAAATAAAAATGGCCACCGTGCTGTACCGATCAGCTCTCTGTCAGCACAGTGCGACAGTTTAGACAGGGATGTGCCGACACCAGAACCCTTCATCGGCAGATCCTGTAAGCTTCATCGACAGAATCATGTAGTGTAAAGTATCAGAGGGGTAGCCGTGTTAGTCTGAATCTGCAAAAGCGGCGAGGAGTCCTGTGGCACCTTATAGACTAACTGAAGTGTAGGAGTATAAGCTTTCGTGGGCAAAGACCCACTTCGTCAGATGCATGTCATATTTGAAGTGGGTCTTTGCCCACGAAAGCTTATGCTCCTACACTTCAGTTAGTATATAAGGTGCCACAGGACTCCTCGCCGCTTATGTAGTGTAAACACACTCTTAGGGAGCATTCAGATGTGGATCAGATTGCTCAAAATATTTTTGTTCATTTTTTTGTAACCACCTGTGAACTCAAAAAATCAGTTATTTGACCAGCTTTTCCACTTTCTATATTCTCAATCCCATGACTCCTTCCAATCCTGCAATCCCTATTCATCAGAGTCTATAACACCTGGCAACAGATGAAAGAAGAAGAACCCATGGCAAACCTGCAAAGCTAGTATAAGTATTGTGCCTCTGATGCAAGTTCTTCATTCTGTTTAATCGATATAGTAGAAAAAATTCACTTTTCATGCTATCTGTATTCTATTTTCTGTTCAGTTCAGACTGTCACAGAGGAGGTGCACACACTGTGCTCTCTCTTGCAAAGTTTACACTTTTTGTTGCCTGTTTCATTGTTACCTTCACTTAAAATACAGGTGAGTGTAATGGAAATCCCCCTTCTCTGACTCGTGCCTGGGAACAAAACAGGTGACAAAAACTCCCTTTGCTTCTCCCATAGTAATTGAACACGTCACCCTTGGAACTGCTCAGTGAAATCAACAGCAGAAGAAAGAAGAGGGAAATGGATTAATTGTCCCCCTTTTTGCCTAACGCTGTAAGCTATCTGCTTTCAAAAAACATCCCGTGTTTGTTTTATGTGCACTCACAGGCAGGAGCCGAATGCAGCCCTAATCTCAGTGGGTACCCACATCCCTTGTTACAATACAGACACGTATAATAACAACATAATAATGAACAATACCACCACGGGTTTTTTGAAATGACATCACTATGGGATGGGAACTGAATTCACCTCTTTCAACTGCCCATCACTCAACCAGCACAGAGATGAACAGTTTCAGCAGGTAGTTAGGAGTTTATTCATGGCTTTCCTCAGGGCATCCTTCACCTCCCTGTTCCTCAGGCTGTAGATGAGGGGGTTCAACATGGGGATCACCAGTGTGTAGAACACTGAGGCTATTTTGTCGGTGTCTTTGGGAGAGCTGTAGGTGGGTTGGAAATATGTGAAAAGGATAGTGAAATAGAATATTCCCACTGTGATCAGGTGACAAGAGCAGGTGGAGAAGGCTTTGTACCGGCCCTCGGCTGAGGAGATCCTCAGGATGGTGGAGATGATGAAGACATAGGACAGAACGATGGTCACAGCACTGGTTATTAAAACACAGCATATAGAAGCCAATTGCACAATGTCACTGATGCGGGTGTTAGAGCAGGATAGCACTAGTAGTGGGGGTAATTCACAAAAGTAATGCGCGATGATGTTGGAGTGGCAGAACAACAACCGGAATGTACAACACGTAAGTGTCAGTGCATCCACCAAACCCACAGCGCACACCCCAGCCACCAGCTGGTAACAACGCTGGCGGGACATGGTGAGCATATAGCGCAGCGGGTTACAGATGGCCATGTAACGGTCATATGACATAACAACCAGCAAGAGGCACTCAATGTCTGAAAGTAAGGTAGAGAAAAAAGTTTGCACAGCGCAGGCCTCGTAAGAAATGCTTTTCCTCTCAGCTAAGAAATTCTTCAGCATGTTAGGGGCAATTACTGAGGAATAGCAGAGATCACAGAAAGACAAACTCCGGAGGAGAAAGTACATAGGGGTGTGGAGTTGGGAGTCAATTGTGATTAACAAGATCATCCCCCCATTTCCCACCAGGGTGATAACGTAAATCAGTAGGAACAACACAAACAGGGGAGCCTGCAGATCTGGACGATGTGTCAGTCCTGAGAGAACGAACTCAGTCACTTCCGAGTGATTTCCCTCTTCCATCTCCTCTGAGCAGAGATCAGGCAGCTACAAGGATGTGGGCAAGTGGAAGGCTCGGGAAAACAAAAGCTTGGCTGTAATGAAGAAAAGAGGAAATCAGTTGCTTAATAGACACCAGCGCAGGGAAGGGCTCAGTCCACAGAACCAGATGTCCACAGCTGGCCATTCCACCTGTTTGATCAGTTTCACACACTGTACCTATACAAGGACACACAGGTTAATCATGCCACAAACATTGCTGTTCACTGATCCAAGCAGCACACAGGGACTTGTGACTCTGCTGTGGGAGAATCAGTGTGAAACCATCTTAGTGTGATGGGATCATTCCTTAGCTGAAGAACACGTGAGAGAAAACGAGTGTCAGTCCTTCCACCCTCTTTGGGCAAGAGGAGCTCTGTGGTTCGGCATGTCGCTTTGGGGTGAAACTTGCTCACTGTCATAATTAAGCTCTTTGGCATCTGATAGCGGCATTTACATTAGTCGCTATGAAACCCCTGAGACACACAGGAAGGCGCCGGCTTCTGTACCTAATAGTCAATTGCTTCCAACTAAAGGTCTTGTTCCTTTAGGTCAATGGGTTGGACCTGGGACTGAAGCTTTTAGTGCTGTAGGTCTTCAATGCAGTTCCCGCCAATCACGGTATCCGTACGGGTGTGTGCCTCTGATGCAGTACAACAGCACGTACCTACGGACAGGAGAGAGAGACGTGGCGGCGTTTCTCCATCGACAGAAACTGAGTCTTTGTGCAATTGGGAGGGTTTATATGAGATCCGTGATCTGTGGAACAGGATCTCTGAAGTCACTGGGAATACCTGAGCTCAGAGACACAACAGCTAATTAATGAGCTCAGTGAACCTCAGCCATGGAGATGGTACCCTGGGGGTAAATGTGGAGCCCTCTTGCCTCCTGTGCCAGTAAATGATGCAATTTCTATCAGAGTTAGGTATTTCATTCTGCTTATGTCATGGCAAGCTGGGTCCTGTGTAGAGCTGAGTTTGTGTTTGGTGAGACCTGTGTTTGGTGTGACAAAAATCTTTTGGCTGAGAAGTTAATATTTCAGCTCAGAAATAAAACAGGGATGCCCCAGGCACCACATCCCACCTTTCTTTGCAATGGGCCCAGCTCCCAGGCTGGACTCCATCCCCTCTTAAGCATGACCATCTGTTCTCCTATGTAGAATAGTGATAGAAATGTAGCCTTGTTAGTCTGGTGTAGCTGAAACAAAAAACAGGACTATGTAGCACTTTAAAGACTAACAAGATGGTTTATTAGATGATGCGCTTTCGTGGGCCAGACCCACTTCCTCAGATCAAATAGTGGAAGAAAATAGTCACAACCATATATACCAAAGGATACAATTAAAAAAAAGTGAACACATATGAAAAGGACAAATCACATTTCAGAACAGAACGGGGATGCGGGGGGGAGGGTGTGGAAGGAAGGTAAATGCCTGTGAGTTAATGATATTAGAGGTGGGGAAGGGTAGATGTCTGTGAGTTAATGGTATTAGAGGTGATAATTGGGGAAGCTATCTTTGTAATGGGTAAGGTAGTTGGGGTCTTTGTTCAGCCCCCTGCGGAGAGTGTCGAATTTTAGCATGAATCACAGTTCAGAGGATTTTTTCATTTGATAGCCTCTCTAATCTCCCTTAGCATTTAATAGTCACTATCATTGTCCTGATCATATAGTCGATATATATCCCTACTGATATATTTTTATTCTTGATACTTGGAATTACTATCAAATCTGCACTTGAAAGGGAATCCTCTGAACTGGCATTCATGCTATAAAATTCGACACTCTCCGCAGGGGGCTGAACAAAGACCCCAACTACCTTACCCATTACAAAGTTAGCTTCCCCAATTATCACCTCTAATACCATTAACTCACAGACATCTACCCTTCCCCACCTCTAATATCCTTAACTCACAGGCATTTACCTTCCTTTCCCCCCCTCCCCCCACATCCCCTTCTGTTCTGAAATGTGATTTGTCCTTTCTATATGTGTTCACTTTTTTTTTTAATTTTATCCTTTGGTATATATGGTTGTGACTATTTTCTTCCACTATTTGATCTGAGGAAGTGGGTCTGGCCCACGAAAGCTCATCATCTAATAAACCGTCTTGTTAGTCTTTAAAGTGCTACATAGTCCTGTATTTTGTTCTCCTATGGAACTGCCCTGGGACTTCTCTAGTGAAACACACAGAACAAATGTCACGTCCCACCCAATGTCACCATGTTCATGGTGATTTCCCCCTCTTTGGGCAATTGGAAACTGGAAACTGGGAATCTGATTCTCTCATGTGTTGCCAAGGATCAAACAGGTGTTGGAATTATAGGAATGAGTTTTAAATGTAGACTCTATGAAATGCTTGGAAGTTGCTGTTGGCATTAATATCATGGATAGCCGCTGTAGTGCCACTTACTGGGAAGGCAAAGGGAGGCCCTTTGTTAGGTGGCTAAATGATTTTAGAAAGATAAGGCCGCAAAGGGTCCCCCAACAAAACTGGACCTTCTGTCCGGTTCCGTGACAGCCACCATCTGTCTTCTGGTGGTGTGCCTCCCTCTTCCCTTAATGAATCAGAGAGGGCAATTTATTGTATGTGAACTGAACATATGGAAAATTGATTTAGGGAAAATCTACAAAATTCAACGGGTAACCACAAGTTGTTCAAAACCAAAACCTGTACAGGAGTCAGTCCCCAGAACCCACTGAACAAAAGAGCGTTTTGGCTGAGTATAAAGAATAAGGTAAGTATGACAAATTTACAGAAACCTTCTTGAAAGTTCCTAAACCCCCACACCCTTCTCCTCAATCTCCACACCCTCCACCTCAACCTCCGCACCCTCCTCCCCATTCCCCTGGAGCGCCGAGGCCCCCTCGTCTGCAGTGCTGGGAGGCAGTTGGCCTGGCAAGACCTCCACCCCTGAGCACTGAAATTCCCCTTCCCCTTCTTCCCCTTCTTTTCCCCTTCCAGTTCCCTCCTCCAAGTTTTCCTCCTCTCCTCTCCCATCCTTTCTCCTTCCCTCTTCCGCCGCCCTTCCCAATCTCTCCAGAGTTTCATCCTCCCCCCCAGTTTTGTTAAATATACAGAGTTTGTATTTTTGAGACAAAAGTGCATTTTATTTGACATCAGGAAGGAGGACGCTAGGGAAGGGTAAGTGGAAAGACGAGAAGGAGGAATGGGGCACAAGCCCCCAGTGGGGTAGACTGAGGGAACTGTTAGCGTTCCTCAGGGTGGAAGCTTTCCCGCAGGACCCCCTGGATCCTGACAGCCCCTCGATGATCCTCCGGGATGGCAGTCTGCAGACAGTGCAGCCAGGCTGCTGGCAACATGTCACGAGACACAGAAGAGTTCTTGGGGGCAGGTCTGGCTCCATGTTGGAGAATGCCGTGGTGTCCTGAGTGAGGGCAAGCAGAGCACGCAGAGACAAAAATGCTTTGCTGTCCCTCAGCAAGGTAGACCAGCAAACCAGCAAGCAGGGAAACCTGAGAACTGTCTGTCCGGGATAGGGGTAGGGTCCCTTTTGACACAGACCTCAGATACCTTGAAGCAGCAACCCCACACACTAAATCCGACCCTGATGCCCTGCTGGCAGTGGTTCCGGCTTCCTTCCCCTCGATTCAGGGTTCACTCAGTGTGGACACGCTATTTCAAATTAGAAAAACACTATTTCGAATTAGTTTTTGTGTATAGCTGCATTATTTCAAATGAGCTTATTTCGAATTAACTAATTCAAAATAAGTTAATTTGAAATAGCGATGTAGTGAAGACATACCCTTAGCTAGTCTGGCCCTGTGTGATTTGGGGCTTAGTTCCTAGCTCAACTGCAGATCTCTTCTACAGCTTTGAAGCAAGACATTTCCTTTCTCTATGCCCCAGCTCTGGTTCTGTGAAACGGAGATCACATGGTACTAGCTTATGGCACAAAGCAGGTGACACAAACCCCACAGAGCACAGAAAGGGCTACAGAGTAGAAGGATGGTGTGCAACTCCCTTTGGTTCACCCACAGAAATGACATATGTCATCCTGCGATCTGCCCAATGAAATCAACACCAGCAGAAAGAAGAGGGAGTGAGATTTGATGTTTCCCCTTTTTTCCCAATACAATAGATCCTCAGCTTTTAAAGCACATCACATATAGTTTTATGTGCACACAGAGGCAGTAGAGGAATGTAGCCCTGATCTCAGTGGAGAACGGCAGCCCTTGTTGGAATACAGACACATGCATAACAAGATAATAATGAAACATACAACCATTGACTCTGTGAAATGACATCACTATGGGCTGGGAACTGAATTCATCTGTTTCCACTGCAAGAATTGGTTAAGAGTTTGTTCCTGGCTTTCCTCAGGGCGTCCTTCGCCTCCCTGTTCCCCAGGCTGTAGATGAGGGGGTTCAACATGGGGATCACCAGCGGGTAAAACACTGAGGTCATTTTGTCTGTGTCCATGGAATAGCTGGAGGTGGGTCGGAAATACATAAAAAGGAGAGCGCCATAAAATATGACCACCACACACAAGTGGGAAGCGCAGGTGGAGAAGGCTTTGCACTGGTCCTCAGCAGAGCGGATCTGCACGATGGTGGAGATGATATAGACATGGGAGAGGAGGATGGTCATAACACTGATCACTACAGTGTAGCACATAGAAACAAATGACACAATCTCATTGGTCTGGGTGTCAGAGCAAGAAAGTGCCTGAAGAGCAGAGATATCACAGTCTGATGAGGTTGGAGTGGCAGAATGACGGTCGAAAAGTACAAAATATAAGTATCAATGCATCCACCAACCCCACAGCACACACCCCAGCCACCAGCTGGATACACCTCTGCCTGGACATGGTGACCGTATAGAGCAGTGGGTTACAGATGGCCACATAATGGTCATACACCATCACAGCCAGCAAGAGACACTCAATATCTGCAAGAAAGGTAGCTAAAAACATTTGCACAGCGCAAGCAGTGTAAGAAATGCTGTTCCTCTCAGGTAAGAAAATCTGCAGCATTGTAGGGGCAATTACTGAGGAAAAGCAGAGATCACAGAAAGACAGACTCCTGAGGAAAAAGTACATGGGGGTGTGGAGTCGGGCATCAGTCGTGATTAACAAGATCATCCCCCCATTCCACACCACAGTGATAACATAAATCAGATTTAGATCAGATTGCTCAAAATATTTTTCTTTAATTTTTTGTAAGCACCTGTGAACTCAAAAAGTCAGTTACTTGACCAGCTCTTCCCTTTTCCATATTCCCAATCCCATGACTCCTTCCAATCCCACAATCCCTATTCATCAGAGTCTATAACACTTGGCAACAGATGAAAGAGGAAGAACTCATGGCAAACTTGCTGAGGTGGTATAACTATCGAGTGTGTGATACAAGTGTTTCCTTCTGTTTAATCCACATGGTAGAGAAAATTCACACTTTTCGAGCTAGTCTGTGTTCCGTTCAGTGCAAACTGTCACAGAGGAAGCACACACACTGTGCTCTCTTTCGCTAATGGATTATTTGTCCCCTTTTTGCCTAACACATTCAGCTCTCTGCTTAAAAAAAATCTCATGTATGATTTATGTTTTATGTGCAAACACACAGGCAGTAGCCAAATGCAACGCTGATCTCAGCGGGTACCCGCATCTCTTGTTACAATACAGACACATGTATAATAACAACATAATAATGGACAAAACCACCACGGGTTGTGTGAAATGACATCACTATGGGATGGGAACTGAATTCACCTCTTTCCACTGCCCATCACTCAGCCAGGACAGAGATGCACAGTTTCAGGGACCAGTTAGGAGTTTATTCATGGTTTTCCTCAGGGCATCCTTAACCTCCCTGTTCCTCAGACTGTAGATGAGGGGGTTCAACATGGGGATCACCAGTGTGTAGAACACAGAGGCTATTTTGTCGGTGTCTGTGGGAGAGCTGTAGGTGAGTTGGAAATACATGAAAAGGAGAGTGAAATAGAATACTCCCACTGTGATCAGGTGACAAGCGCAGGTGGAGAAGGCTTTGTACCGGCCTCTGACAGAGTAGATCCGCAGGATGGTGGAGATGATGAAGACATAGGACAGAAGGATGGTCAAAGCGCTGCTTATTAAAACACAGCACAAAGAAGCCAATTGCACAATGTCACTTATGCGGGTGTCAGAGCAAGAGAGCAGCAACAGTTGGGGCATTTCACACAGGTAATGCCTGACAATGTTGGAGCCACAGAACGACAGTTGGAATATAGAACATGTAAGTATCAGTGCATCCATCAAACCCATAGCGCACACCCCAGCCAGCAGCTGGTAACAACGCTGGCGGGACATGGTGAGCATATAGTGCAGCGGGTTGCAGATGGCTACATAACGGTCATACGCCATCACAACCAGCAAGAGACACTCAATGTCTGAAAGTAAGGTAGAGAAAAAAGTTTGCACAGCGCAGGCAGAGTGAGAAATGCTTTTCCTCTCAGCTATGAAGTTCTTCAGCATGTCAGGGACACTTACAGAGCAATAGCAGAGATCACAGAAAGACAAACCCCGGAGGAAAAAGTACATTGGAGTGTGGAGTTGGGGGTCAATTGTGATTAACAAGATCATCCCCCCATTTCCCACCAGGGTGATAACGTAAATCAGTAGGAACAACACAAACAGGGGGACCTGCAGGTCTGGACGATCTGTCAGTCCTGAGAGAATGAACTCAGTCACCTCCGAGTGATTTCCCTCTTCCATCTCCTCTGAGCTTAGATCAGGCAGCTACAGGGATGAGGACAGGTGGAAGGCTCGGGAAAACTAAAGTTTAGCTGTAATGAAGAAAAGTGGGAATCAGTTTCTTAATAGGCACCAGTGAAGGGAAGGGCTTAATCCTCAGAGCCAGATGTTCACAGATGGTCATTCCACTTGTTTGATTAGTTGCACACACTGTACCCATATAAGGACACGCAGGTTAATCATGCCACAAAAACCCCCTGTACACTGATCCAAGCAACAAACAGGGACTTGTGACTCTGCTGTGGGAAAATCAGGGTGAAACCATCTTAGTGTGATGAAATCATTCCTTAGCTGAAGAACACGTGAGAGAAAATGAGTGTCGGTCCTTCCACCCTCTTTGGGCAAGGGGAGCGCTGTGGCTCGGCATGTTGGTTTGGGGTCAAACTTTCTCACTGTCATAATTAAGTGGCATCTGATAGTGTCATTTATATTAGTTGCTATAAAACCGCTGAGACAAAAAGGAAAGTGCCGGTTTCTATGAGTACCTGATAGTCAATTGTTTCCAATCAAAGGTCTCGGTCCTTTACATCAATGCGTAGGACCAGGGGCTGATGCTTTTAGTGCTGTAGGTCTTTAACGCAGTGCCCACCAATCACTGTATCCTTACGGGAGTGTGCCTCTGATGCAGTACAACAGCACGTACCTACCGACAGGAGAGAGAGACGTGACAGCATTTCTCCATCGACATAAACTGACTTTTTCTGGAAATGGGAAGTTTTATACTGAGATCCGTGATCTATGGGATGTATACCCTGAAGCCACAGGGAAGATCTGAGCTCAGCGACACAACAGCTAATTAATGAGCTCAGTGAATCTCAGCCATGGGACTGATACCTTGGGGATTAATTTGGTTCCCTCTTTCCTCCTGTGTCAGTAACTGATGCAATTTCTATCAGAGTTGCAGTGTCCAAGCCTGAGGGGTATTTCTTTCTGCTCTTATCACTGCAAGCTGGGTCCTGGTACAGGGTGGGCAGTAAACAAACCCAGTCCGTATAAGGGCCGGCAACAAGCATAGTTAGTTCACAGGTCCAGGCCTTGGTTCAGGCAACAAAGAAACACAGACAGTTATCATTTCAGAGAGCCCTGGCCCTAGGGCAGGGTGGGGCAGTATACTAGTCCAGCAGTTTAGGAAGCCCAGGCCTGGTTCCAGGCTGGGAAGCAAACACACACAGGCTTGGGGTCTCCTTGTTCAGTGCAGGCAGTTCAACTGCGACAGCAGTGAGGGGGGGAGTGTCACTCAGTAGGTGGGTGGCAGGGAGGGATGCCGGCCCATCACTCTACTCCACCCCAGCCCAGAGCCCTAGATGCAGCAAATCAGCTGCTTCTGGCTCAGTGGAGGCTGCAGCCCAAAACGCGCTGGCCTCAGGCCTTTACCAGCCCTTGCTGTCCCCTGGGCCACTTCCCTTCTTCCCCTCAAGAGGTATCTGGATCTCTGGCAGAGAGAGAGATCCAGGACTGAACAAAGCCAGGTCACTAGGGCGCTGTCCAGCAACGTGGAAGATCCACTGTCCAATTGCTTCTCCCCATCAGACAGAGGGAGGACTGACTTGTGTCTCTCACATCCCGTACGGCTATTGAGTGACACTCTACAAGGGTAGAAGCACCGTCACCTCTTCTCCAACCTGAACCACTTTGCTTAAAGTTTTCTAGGGATCCAATTGGTCAAACATTTAGGGAACATTCAGATGTGGATCAGGTTGCTCAGAATATTTTTGTTTAATTTTTTTGTAACCACCTGCGAACTCATAAATCAGTTACTGGCCTACCTCTACCCATTCCACACTTCCAATCCCTCAGCCCTATCTAACCCACAATCCCTATTCATCAGCGTCTATAACACCTGGTAACAGATGTAAGAAGAAGAACTCGTGGTAAACCTGCTGAGGTGGTATAAATATTGAGTGCGTGATGCAAGTTTTTCCTTCTGTTTAATCCACGTGGTAGAGAAAATCACACTTTTCATGCTAATCTGTGATCCGTTCAGTGCAGAGTGTCACAGAGGAGGCGCACACACTGTGCTCTCTCTTGCAAATGTTACACTTCCTGTTGCTTGTTTTGTTGTTACCTTCACTTAAAATACAGGTCAGTGTGTGGGAAATTCCCTTTCTCCTCCTCGTGCCTGGGCACAAATCAAGTGACAAGAACTCTCTTTGGTTCACCCACAGGAATTGCACACGTCATCCTTGGAACTGCCCAATGAAATCAACACCAGCAGAAAGAAGAGGGAAAAGGATTTTTTCTCCCCCTTTTTTCCTAATTCAGTCAGCTCTCTGCTTTCAAAACACATCCCATGTATGTTTTTATGTGCACACAGAGGCTACATCTGGACTGCACGCCTTTTTCAACAGAGGCTTTATCGAAAGTAGCTTTTGAAAAAGCCTCTGTCGAAAAGAGCGTCAAGATTGCATTATGTGGATCGAAAAATCGATCCGCTTTTTTGAAAAAGAGCATCCAGACTGCCGGACGCTCTGTCGAAAAAAAAAGGCACCCGGAAGTGCTTCTGGCAGGGCACGGGGGCAGCCTTTATTTCCAGGTGCTGCTGCCTGCCCTTTGCAGAGACAAGTGCTCAAAGGGATCTCCCTGGACAGCCGTTGCTCTGCTCCTGCTTCTGACTTGCCTACCGCCTAGAGGGAAAGCAAAGCTGCTGCAGGGATTACTCTGGTTGCTCTGCTTCCTCGGACACCACGGCAGTTTATCGGCAGGGTTTTTTTCTGCTTTTCACCGTGTTTTTGGCCATGGAGCCTGAACTGCGCCTGGGTAGGTGATGTTCCCACGCTGCCATGCTGCAGCTTCTGCTGCATCTTCATGACTCTGTCATGAATCTCCTGCCCCATATGGACCCGGACCCGAGGAGACCCTCCTCCAGGATGCAGGAGCTCTGTCCTTACCCCCAAACTTTTTGGGGGACAGGCAGATTTGGAGGCATGAGACGAGTTAGGACTGGTGGGACTGGCTTGTCATGCAGCTCTGTGATGATGAACACTGGCTCCATGACTTCCGGATGCGGAAGGCCACATTCCTGGAGCTGTGTGCCTGGCTCACCCCTGCTCTGGAACACCAGGACACCCACCTGCGGCCCGCCATCCCTCTGCAGAAGCAGGTTGCAATCGCCCTGTGGAAACTGGCCACCACCGACAGCTACCGCTCTGTGGGACACCAGTTTGGCATGGGGAGGTCTACCGTTGGGGCCGTTTTGATGGAGGTAAGTCACTTTCTGGGGAGGAGCTGTGTGCCTGGCTCACCCCTGCTCTGGAACACCAGGACACCCACCTGCGGCCCGCCATCCCTCTGCAGAAGCAGGTTGCAATCGCCCTGTGGAAACTGGCCACCACCGACAGCTACCGCTCTGTGGGACACCAGTTTGGCATGGGGAGGTCTACCGTTGGGGCCGTTTTGATGGAGGTAAGTCACTTTCTGGGGATGGGCCATGCTGAGTGGGGGTGGGGCTGAAAAAGGGGGACTGCCAAGGAGGTCTCCCGTTGGGGCCGTTTTGATGGAGGTAAGTCCCTTTCAGGGCATGAGCCAGGAATAGTGGGGGGGGGGGTTGAGAAAAGGAGACAGCCAGGCAAAGGCAAGAGGGAGTGGGGGATGGAGTGGTACTTGGAGGAAGGGGGGGATGCGGAGTGATGGAGTGGTGCGGAGGAGGGGGGCGTCCTGAGAAGGAGAGGTGTGGGTTGGGAGAGGGGGAGGGTTCTCCTCCCAAGCACTTAGGTAACCTGTCTAACTCCCTGGTTTCTGTCTGTCTATTTGTCTCATGCTGCAGGTGGTGAGGGCCATCAATGCGAAGCTGCTGAAGAGGCTCGTTTGTCTCAGGGACCTGGACAACATCCTTGCTGGGTTTGATGACCTTGGCTTCCCAAACTGTGGAGGAGCCCTCGATAGGACACACATCGCAATCCGCGCACCTCCCCATCAAGCAGCCCAGTTTATAAACAGGAAGGGCTACTATTCCATGGTGCTGCAGGCCCTGGTCGATCACCAGGGATACTTTATGGACATTCGTGTCGGGTGGTCGGGACGGGCACATGATGCCTGCATATTCTGCAACTCCTACCTGTACCGCAGGTTGCAGGCAGGAACATTTTTCACCCAGTGACAAGTCGTACTCTGGGACGTGCAGATGCCGGTGTGCATAGTGGCTGACGCGGCCTACCCCCTGAAGCCGTGGCTCATGAAGCCCTACACCAGCCACCTGGATGTGAGCAAGGAGCTTTTCAACACGCATCTTAGCCACGCTCGCATCCAGGTGGAATGTGCCTTTGTCCAGCTGAAAGGGAGGTTCCATTGCCTCCTCGCACGGTTGGAGATGGTCAAACGCAACATCCTGGAGGTGGTGGCTGCATGTTGCATCCTCCATAACCTGGTGGAGAGGAAAGGGGCGGTCTTCCTGCCATGGTGGGGGGAGAAGTGCTGATGGCGAGGAGAAGCAATTTCAGCAGCTCTGGACGGCTGCCATCCGCCAGGCTCACCAGGCTGGTGTCCAAATCTGAGAGGCCCTGAGGGAGAGATTCTCACAAGGAGTCCACTGACTCTCCCCAAGGCCTCCCCCATGGGGAGTTTGGCCTGGCCCACCCCTACCTTTTCCCTCCACAACCCTCACTCTCTTCCCATTAACAAGACAGATAGACCCAGTTTTCTTTGTACACAGAATTTTTTTTATTAGAAACACTAGCAGTACAGAAAATACGTGACCTGTGTAGAAAACACCTTTCTCGTTCAACTGTTTATAAACAAAGTAAATCTGTCAGTCAAAAATAAAGATTTTGTAACATAACTGAAATGTCCTTTAACTGGGGTGGTAGGGGACTGAAAACCTGAAGGAGGGAGGGGGACTGAAAACCTGGAGGGGGGAGGGAGCTAAAGTAGGCCGTTGGTTCTCTCATCGCAGGATCCTGCCATCTTCCTGTGTCCTGGCATCGCCACGGCTGTGGGATCAGGTGGAGTGAGAGCCAGTCCTGGCCTGGGGAGGAGGGGAGGCAGCTGTTGGGCCTGTGAGGGCTCAGGAGCAGGAGGGGTTGGGGGGGAAGGAGGGACTGGAGGGGCTGGGGGGAAGGGGAGGCTG